ACCACTGTCGTATGTGGACAGCAAGTACGTTAGCAAATTATATTACATAATTATATAAATTACAAGACCCCAGGACAAAACTGCTCCTGGCTAAGAAATAGTCTGGCCCCTGTAAATGGAAAATTGATGGTTTTTGTACAAATTAAACAAACAAGATATATCATATTAATTTTTGAACTTTAGAGATGCTGTCAAACTATTCCTAACTATCTTGTTATTCTGGATATCTATGGCTATACATAATCTGCAGTGGAAGTATTTTAGGAGTATGCATGCTTAACTGTGCACAAATCAGCTACCCTGAAGGTTATAAGTGTATGTATGTCCATAGTGACATTGTATTTTCCTCAGCATCTCGTGTGGACACTATAATCACATAAAGCAATAGCTACAAGCTCCGTCAGTGGCAATCTCAGTAAATTGTCATTAATATGATTCTTCTTGCTTCTTGTGTGTTGATCATGGCCAATAAAGGGCAAAGTTTCAGAAGATATTTTTCCTTTTAAAGTTATCAGGCTAACTTGCTAATCCCGCTCTGTGAAATACCCCTCAGGGTGATGAACAAAAACTTGGAACAACTTTTCAACTTGCAGCGAGAGCTTTTTTTCTCATCACAGCCTCAGAGACTTATGGTATAGTTAGCACACAGCGTGCCTAAAAATAGGTCGACTAGACAGGTGCTCTCTTGTGGCAGCATGTCTCCTTTGCCTGCCTGTCTCTTATCACTTTTATTTGTCTCTCTTCACTCAGTTGCTGAGGAACGGAAGCCTGAAAGAGGCTGGCAGGAGGAAGCGAGCGAGAGACAAGTTTCCATCTCTCTCTGCATCCTTCCTTCCCATCCCCGAAGCTCTGTGCGCTTCTCTCTGCACTGCAGCTTTCTGCAGAAGCAACCAACCAGGCAGCCTCTTCCTCTTCAGCACTGTGTGAACATGTAAAATAAGAGAAACAAGCGGTGTTTGTTGTATCTGGTGTATATTGCATTTCCTAAAGACTAGTGCTGTTATCTCCATGCGATGCCCCTAGCACTCCATTGTGATTTTATATATGAAAGAGTCGAGGCGAAAGACACATGGCAAGTAGACGTGCATGCACAAAGACTAATTATAATACTGTGTGTTTATAAAGCCCTTATTTGTATGCACACATTTATAATCTGATCATTCCAGAACAGGACTTAAAGATCTCACTGTGTTCTTATCATAATGTGTACTTGCTTATGTCTGACCTTTTTTTATTTTATGAATAAATTAATTCTAGTACTAACAGGAAACTCTGTAATTTCTGAAATTAATTATGAAATCAATGACCACCAAACGTTTTAAAGGGAAGTTACCTCAGAGCCGGAGCTCATGATGTTTGAAAGACGTGTCACTTTCTACAGCGGTTTGCAGTTGCGATGTACAATATAATATCCACAGAGGAATGTCTGAGACTTAAGATGTTGATTTAGTTAAAACATTGTCCAATTAAACCCAGAAAGAAAAATCCGCAGTCTCTATGAAAACTGTGAAAAAAATCTAGAAGTTGTTTTCATTATCAAGTGTTTTTCTCATCGTCATGACATGTTGTAATCATAAAAAAGTATAATTATGACCTAGCATAATTTCATAATTATGAGAATTTTATGTAATGAAATGAGCCAACTAAGACATTTTGCGGTTAACCTCCACAGCATCTTATGTTGAGCAATAATTGTACAACACTGTCAGCCATTTACCAAGTAGCTACTGCAGCACGTCTGATCGGCTGAAGAGGAAGTCATCCACTGGATGCCGATTTCTTCATCCACTCCTCCGTGAATGTAAACCAAAGAGGCAGAAATGTTGTTTGAGTATCAGTTCCTTCCTCCCTCATGAACGTGCTGCAAATGGAAATTGTGTTGCTGCAGCATGTGGTCTTTTTTTTTTCCTTTTTTTAAATATATAAGTGAAATGAAATAAAAATGGTGGATTAATAGCCGTGACCATTGCATTTGTGTACTTGTATGCCTTTGAAGATTATGATTATGATGTAATTGTGTCACCTGATCTGGATCATCTCATCATACATAATAACTAGCATATCTTTCAAAATGTAACTGCTGTATATTTAAAGTTAATAGCAAATTCTTCAATAATATTCCATGTTCATGCTAAGAAATAATTTAATTACTGCCACAAATCCCATGAAAAGCCAAAGACCAAAACTAACAAAGCATTAGTCTGTCAATAAAGATACGATAGATAAGTTTTAATTCATAGTAATTTCCTAAAATACCTGGGCACTGTAGTTTTTAGCAAAAAATACTCAAACAGGAGGAAATAGTGCATTTATTTGGGGACATTTTTCAGCAGCGGATGAATACACATTTGGTGTATTAGTGACTATTTACAGCAGCAGGAGGAAACTTGTAGGACTGAGTCAAAATAAACTAAAGAGTAAGATGTATCATTGTAATTTAGGTCTTTTCATGGGATTTGTTGACAATAACCAAACTTGTTCTTTAAAGTCTTAAGTTCTTAATGAAAGTTCATAATCAAAGTCCATGTGTAGTATATGATACTATGAACTAGGGGAGTGATTAATGTATATAATGATCAGATATCTAATCATACTATTAATTACAATGAAGTGAGGTTATTAATATGTGTGTGTTCCTCTGGCTGAGAAGCAAAAAAAAGCACAAGACCGTTTTGTTCTTCAAATATATAATCTTAGCTCAGTCATACAGATATATACATTGTATAATAAATAATATTTATAAAAACATAACATTTACGATTATAAAATAAAAAGGGAATTATTCACTTTAAAACATTTGTACAAAACTTTGGATATAGCGGGGGAAGTAGGGGTTTCGGGGGGGTGGGGTGGGGGGGGTGGAGGGGACTGAACACAGAAAGGTAGGCCCAGGTAGGGAGGGCTGTGTAGAAGATGACGCAAATGCTAAGCTATGTCACAAAGAGAGGACCGCCTATACACTACTGGGTAACTTGTATTTTTGTTGTTGAATATAATTAATAGGAAGCAGGTGGGACTGTCAGAACATGTTGTGTGGAAACCTCTCACAGTTTGTTCCACCATTGTGAAGAGCCAGTCTGCCATCCATCCATCCATCCATCCATCCATCCATCCATCCATCCGTTTTTCCATCCACTTCTGTTTGTCACTGGCAGCCATCATACACACACACACGGATCTTGCACAACCGTCTTCAGCTTAATGTCAGTCATGTTTTCTACATGAACTGGAAGTTTTTTTTCTGTCCACTCAAAAATCACAACTATTTTGCTCATTGATTTTAAAAACCATTTCCTCCCACGCAAACTCTACTGGGCTGACATCCATGCCTCTGAAAACACAATTTTCAGTTCACTATATTGTTCTTCCAATATCTCCAAAACCAGAACAGCAAGGCAGAAGTGTTTTTGTTGTGCACTGACAAGAACGCAAGTTCATAAATCAGGCTTCTTAAAAACCTCAAGCTGTCTAACTGAGGGGAAAATATTGAGAGAAGGAAGGGAGGAGGGAAGAAAGGAAGGATAGAAGGAAAGGATGTGAAAGCCAATGAGAATCTGCTCTGCACTCTGGTCTCCACATGTCGTCACATGTCCCCCTTTTTCTTTTTTCTTTTTTTTATTTATTACAGTGATAAAAGAAAGTTTTGCTTAAAGTCTCTAAGATGGACCTGACGAATGCATGAAGTGTTAGATACAAAAGATCTCCCGATAATCACTTCGCTCATAAGACCAGAATTAATATTAAGCATGCTAAAGCTTGACTCAAGTTTGATGCATAAATTTATAAATGAAACAGCCATAAATGATCTTCTTCTACTCACTCATACAATTTGTTTTTCGGTGTTGTTTTCGCCACAGCGCTCCTTAGTCTGGATAATGTATAACTGTGTTGTTGCATCACACTTGTGGAAATCATGAGCAATTTACAGGTTGATCGTGCCCGAATGCAGGAACAAAGTCGTCATTCATAAGAACTGCAAGGTTGCAATGAAGAAAAATTTGCTCGCATAAACAATGCTCTAAATTTTTACCACCTGGCATTGCTGTATGTGGAACTGAATAGTGCATACATATACATGTGTAGGGTGGTTAGTGGAATGAGCATGTGGCTCGCACACATGCCCCCTCCTGCATACCTCCAGTCCCAGCCCATTGGTGATATTTCAGAAATGCAGGGCTATAAAATCAGGCTGTAGCATATATCTTCCAGGCTTCCCGGTTGACTGGTGCAGTCGAGTCAGTCAGCAGGGAGTAGCAACACTGAGGATTTCATCAGCTCAGTAGTTTACAAAAAAGACAGGACTATGGCACCTCCAGCGCCTGCCTGCTGTTCTCAGTTCAGTTCAGTAGTTACAAAGTGATGGTTTCCTGGGGCTGCCGACGTGTTCAGTATCACTTATGACTAAGTGATGGTGTAGAGGTTGGTTTAGTTTTTATAAAACAAAAAAAAAACAAAACAATAGGTAAACCAGCCAGACTGGCTGGAGAAGTGAGGTGTTAGTTAGAAAATGCTTTTTATTCAAAAGCAAAGAGAGTCTGAAAGTTTTTTTTTTTTACTGCATTAATCTCACAGGTAAAAAGTGTTACTGTACATGCCACAAGCATTATGTTGGCATGGAGGGGGGAAATAAATAAAGACAAGGGGGAAGGGGATGGGGCTGGGGGGGGTCGTGGCCCAATGCTGCAGGAAGAGGAATCAGGGGAAAGTGGCACAAGTCTGACTTCTTCCAATGAGAGCAGTCAGGTCAACACAGGAACTTATGGAAGTGGATGCAGACGGATTCTAGTGCAGGGTTTTGACAATGAAAGGTGGAGAAGGATCCATTTCTGATGTGCCATCACCCGTTAGGGCCTCAGTGTGTGGTGCTGATGAGTGTGTGGGAAACAGAGTCTGTGTCTGGAGAAGCAGGGAAGTCGTGCAGGACGATGGGGAGTTGAGGGGCGGGGGTGGGCAGCACTTGTAGTCCAGCACTCAGTTTGTCTGAAAGCAACAGGCCTCTCTCACTTGCACGTGTGCACGTCGTAGACGCGCACGCACTCCTGACAACTGACGTAGCAGCACCAGTGGAAGATGCAGTGGCACTTCTCTTTGCGTTTCTCAGTCCGGGTGTTGTGGCCGCGGCCGCAGCACAGCAGGTCGCAGCCCTCGATGCCGTGTGACGACACGTTGCAGACTCGGTCGCGTGTCCCAAAGGAGCCTGTCTCCGGGTTGGGCTCGCAGAAGTTGGGCGAGCCCTCGTAGTAGACCAGGTCACGCTCGGTGGGGTGCTTGAAGAAGGCGTACTTGACCCGCAGCGTCTCCACCCAGCCGCGCGACTCACGGTGTTTCTCCACCACCATCTCCGAGGCGCTGTCGTACTTGTCTTTCAGGTAGTCGCCCAGCATGCGGAAGTCCGGCTGCGCCCACCAGCACGTCTTCACCTCGCAGCTTCCTGACAGGCCGTGGCATTTGCAGCGCAGGTGCATGTGGTCGAGGATGGTCTGAGAAACACAGAAGACAAATACCGTATGATCACTTGGTAGGACCATTTAAACCAAAACCAGTCCTAACTTTTCTTGTTTCAACACCTTTACTTGTACAAATATTTTCTGGTCATTTGGACGGACTCCGTGTATGAGTTAATATAAACTGTGATCCAGAGTCATAGCAGAAAAACATAAAAATGTCCATAGATACTTTTAAAAGGCTTAGCAGTGGATCCATATGTTCAATACTCCAAATAATTTCTCTTTTTTATTAATTAAATCCCTAAAGACACTTGTACTGGTTGAGCCTTGGATCTGTGTCTGGAATCCACTTTTAACTGCTGTGAATTCAAGCCAGCTTCAGTACCTCTCACGGCCGACAGAGAGTGGGTATTTCCTACTGAAAAGGTGCATTTTGGGTGGAGTGTACCTTTAAAGTGTAATTAACTAAAATGCGCTGGTAAACTTTGATTTAATAAAGTGACTCAGCTGTTATGGGGGCGGTTAAGTCAGTCACCACCAGGCAGGATCTGATGGAGTTTTATGGTTAGAAATATACAGGATATTCAGTAATGCAGACTAACAAAACCACTAAAGACTCACAGAACAGGCCAAGAATAACAATACGCCACTGGCTGCAATTTATTTAAGTGTCATGCAGCTGCGAAGTAAAGAGGGTCTGTGCTGCTGCTAATTCTCTCTGAAGTCACTGGCTCACATCATGAGTGTGCCGCCGTGGGGCATATTTTACCTTTGTGTTTCGATTGTGTTGTGCTTTAATTCGGCGGCTATATTTAGCTGCAGAATTCCCCCGGCTGGGGCGGAAGGCAGGTGGCTGTGGCACCTCTGGGTGATGAAGGGGGAGAGTAGGGGTGTGTGGAGAGGGGTGGATGGACTAGTGACATCACACTGTGAGCTTGTCATGCCAACATCAAGTCCCAGAGGCCCTCGGGGCTAAATAATGGAGCGTGAGAGGGCCAGGTGGAGAGGAGAGCAGACTCCTGACAGTGCCGCTGTTCAGCTAGCTCCTGTGGTCTCTCTGACTGCTCCTGTGTGCTCAGATCAAAGGGCTGTCTTGTTGCCGTGTGGTCCCTCCATTTGCCCCTCAGCAAGCAGCCGGGGAGCCTGTTTTCTCCCAGTGGTGACAGCAGCCAGTGATGTTTTAAGTCTGAGCTGATTTCCTTCTTTTCCCCCTCAACTCACTCGGGTTATTTGACTGTCAGGGAATTTTTTTCATTGGGATGCAAGGCATGAAAGGCGAGGTGTGGGGGGGGCAAGGCAAGGAGTTAGGGTGTTGCTGAGATGAGTAATTAACCAGTCATTCAAAGTCAAGTGCTCATTTTCTGGTGGAAGCTCAGAAATGTGCGGACAAGTCAAATACCAAATCCCTGCCAATCACATGAACAATTAGTGATCCCAAACAATATAAATCCATCCCCTCTGCGAGACAGTCGGATCATTGTCCATTGTTTACTGCACCTTGGTTTCAGTTTTTTCACCTTATTTATAGGGCAGGTTGTGCAGAGGTTGTCCAATTAATGTGATGTGTTACAGCTGTACCACCTGAATGTACCGACGTACTCAACGGTGGAACCTGCGTTTATCTTGCAGAGTCAGAACATTTTGTAAATGTTGTAAATACACTGTCAAACTGATTTGACAGTGGTGGTATTTACTATGTACACTATCTGGCCAAAAGTATGCGGACTTCCCCGTCCACCTCTGTTTGTTAAGGTTTGTGCTTTCCCACTTTGCTTCCAACTTTGTGGCAACAGTTTTCCTGTTTCAACACAAAGCCTGTGCACAAAGCCTGGACTGTAAAGAAATGCTTTTCCCAGTTTGGTGTGGAGGAAGGTCACAGGCCTCCACAGAGCCCTGACCCTATCCAACAGCTTTGGGATGAACTGGAACACCGACTGAGAGCCAGGCCTTATCAACTGACCATCAGTAATCCTCTTGTGGCTGTCCTCAAGATTTTGGAAAGCTTCCCAGAAGAGTGGAGGCTGTTATATCAGCAGATTTACATACACATACAGATACATACTTTTGGCCATGTACTGTATATTAACCTGGAATACAGAAACCTAACAGCACATCCTTGCACAGGCTCTTCAAATGTGTCTAAATCTGTTTACCGTGCGTCCTGCCTCGTTGTTGTGCCGGTTCATCGCCGAGCGAGCATCTGGACGGTTCTCCCTGGCGTCGGCGAACTCTCTGGACACCAGCACCCCAAACTCTGCATCCTCGCTGCAGCCACCCCACTTCCAGCCCTCCCCTGGAGGTCCCTTGTGGTGGGAGTCGCAGCCGCACATAGTGGACGTGCCCTCGGCACAGGAGCGCGTCACCGCGAATGCGACGCCCGCTGAGGCGATAGCGTGGACGAACGCTGACTCTCTGGTTGCTGAGAGAGACAGATGAAGGACAGACAGGCAGACAGAGAGATAGGGAGTGTGTCAGTCTTGTGTTCAGCATGGACAAGCCAATCTGTACTGCTGCCAACATCCAGACAGAGGTATTGAAAGAGATACCTCCAGGCAAAAGCCTTTTAACATAACATTTCATCTTTGAGACAGCACATTTGTGTACCTGAAAAAAAAACAAGAAGCCTAGAGAACAACACTCCCACACATGGTTCACAGTATTTATCATATGATTATCATCACTGATGAGGAAGCACATATGAAGGAGACTAAAAGCAGAGTCCCTGCAGTGACATCAGCCCATTGTGGTTGTGTCAGGAGGGCCTAATGCTCAGTGGGATCTCAGTGACCTCCTGTCATCCCTGAGGTGTGCTGCTTTGCATCTGGATAGTGTTTCAGGAATGTTGTCACCCCCACCTCCCCCTCCACCCTTCACCACCCTTCCACCCTCCTACCTTTCCCCGTTCAGAGCCCAAGGCCTTCTGGTGAAACCTAGCAGTGTGTCGGCCTGTTTCTTTTTTACACTGAGGGATGAAGTTACGCCTCCTTTGAAGGCAACAGCTTATTATGTAACCAGACACCATTGTTTCACAATCACAGCACACTTACCGTGGCTCACCCATTACACTCTACTAGCTTTGTTACAGACAGACAAAAACACACGCACACACAGGTATGGGGAGGTGTCCTTAAGCGGTGGCTTGACTTCTCAAGAGCATCGAGTGGCCTCGATTTCTGATGTGCACAACTGTGCGATCTGAGGTTTGAAATTTGTATGAAAACAACCAGAGAATTAACCTCGTATCTTACAGACCGCAAAAGCTGCAAAAGCCAGAAATTCACTCAGCAAGTCCACTGCCAAGAGCCAGTCAAACAAGCCTCTGACAGAGTTTACTAATGTCTGACTGGAGACAAGTCATATTCTCCCATCCTCAAGTGAACTGACAAAACAGAAATACCTGTTTATGCTAGGTGTTTTTGCCTATAGAGCTAATATGATGCCACAAAGATCAGTTTGTATCCATTTATATTTCTGACATCTGGTCTGTCCTGGCGCTTTGTTGTGAAAATGTGACGCAAACACTGTAAATCACAACTATTTAAAAAAAAAAAAATGATTGAAATTGACGACACCCATACGTTGACTGATCTGTTGTTTGTGGATATATCTTATGAAATAACCTGTGCATAGTGAAAGGATACAGTTTTCGTCTAAATCCCCAGCGAACCCTTGTGTGATTGGATGACACACAGTCCTCAGGTTGGGCATCCCTGCTCACCCTGGCAAGCCTAACTGGGCCCTCCACAACATGGGCCTGTGAGCCCTGGGCCCCTGGAGCTCTGGCTGTTAGCCAAGGCTAGCGCTGCTCCTGCTACCTGCTGGGCCCATCAATCCGCCTTTGTTTCCCTTGTGTCACACTGTATTATCCACACAAAGGGCCCAGCGACTCGCGCCCCCACAGCCCCGCTCTGCCCGGAGCTGGCATTCCCCAAACTCCCGAACTCCCTCCCCACTCTCCCTCCAGCCACCCCTCCGCCAACACCCTGAGCTGAAATCCCATACACCACCACCCACCACAGGACCTCAACCCCCCACTTCCTCCAGGCATCCACCAACAGCACCACCATGGCCAACGCACTGCTAACAGTGGCTGGTGCTAGTGGTTGGTAGCTCTCCTTTCCCTAACGCGAATGCTTCCATTCATCATTCCCAAATGAATGATTCCTTCCTTCCTTCCTTCCTTCCTACCTTCCTTCCTTCCTTCCTTTACTTCCCCATCCCAGAGTGCACAGCCGGGCTAGGTTGGGAGAGATCCCCTTTCAGCCTGTTTTCATGACAGAGTCAAAAGGGCGTGTGAATGGGGCGTCCGTGGGAGCTGGACTGTGTGAGGCGCACACTGGTCTTCATGCACAGTAGGGGTTGAGCGGAGCCCCCCGGCCCTTTTCTATTGCCTGTAATCTCATTTGGCCTCCCCTCTCCCTTTTATTTGACTGAGGAGCTTGGACTGCTCACACTGCCCATTTCTGCCCAGATTCCTTCCCCTCTGACACACAGGGTAATTCATTTCCAATCAGCAGCCTCACTCACAACACACGAACTTCTACCTTTATAATTAGGGACTGCAAGGCCTAAAGCGGGACACCTGCGCCTATTGTTTCCCACTGTCAAGGTTTAGCGGGATGTTTAAGGGACAATTAGTATTCTGCGTGTGAAGCGGCTGATGGATGTCTCCAGTATATCAGCTGTTCTTGTCAGGTTTTGTTGATAGATTCACCACGCTGACCCTCTTTCATGTATCAGAGTGTAAACATGGTTGGGAAAACCGAAAAGAAGCTTGACTTGACTCTAAAGACAAATGCGATATTGAAGGTAAAGATGGATGGAGGTTGGATAATGTGTCAGTGCATGTACCTGCGCTCATTTCTCACTGCAGCCAGGAAAGGTGTATATTATTGTAATTGCCCCAGTTAGTCAACAAAAGCCCAGAGTACAGGCAGTGAAAAGCCTTAGGGTGCAAAACTGGTGAATGCTATGTTTTGTAACAGCTTGCAGTAGCCTCAGATATACAGTCTGCTTTTTTATTGCTGGGTGTTGTTTGGCACAGATCATTTAGATCGTAATTTATTTTATACTTTAAGCCTCAGATACATATGTACTTTACACCATTACAAAGTATAGCCATAAGATTTATGGGAGGCTTACTCTCTTTTTCTTGTACTTGTAAAAAAAAAAAAAAAAATCTACCTTTATCTAACACAGGGCCAAAGATGGCAAGGTTGTCCTTGATGGTGGTGCAGTTCCATCGCCGGCCCCTAAACTGGTGTTGGCATTCCTGGATCCCCAGCTTCACACCTTCGGCGACGCTGGGCATGATCTCGATGTAGTTGCGACAGAAACGCAGCTGCTTGGGCACCAGGCCAGGGATAGAGCCGCACAGGATGGGTTGGGAGCCCAGAGACGAGTACTGCTGCCCGAGGGCCAGGGACCTGCGACACACGGAGAGGGGAAAAGCATCATTAAGTGAAGTCTGCTGGGCGTAAAGAAACATCTCTGCATCTGTGTTGCAAGGTGATCAAAAGAGACTTATAATATAAGGTTAAGAGCTGTGTATCAAACCTTAATAATCAATCAGAAACCGAACCTGATTTAACAAAACTTATGCTCATTTTGGGCTGTTTTTCATGTAAACAAAGTTCTTGTAAGGATCGGAACATGTAACATCGGGGCTTATTTTGTTAAATGTAGAAAAACCTACATGTTCCTTAAAGTACGGTATCAAAAAAGTATCGCACACAAGCTCAGTTTTGTATCTTTTGTATCAGCCCTAGTGCTTTTACAAGTGTAAAGAATGTGGGAATTAAAACTGCTTGTCTCACAGTACAAGTCTGTGCCCTCCCTGAACTCAACCCCACAATAGCAGTGATGGTGACCTGCCAGGGAGGCCTCCGTGAAAGGCAACCTGCTCTACAAGAGGGGACCTCTTCTGTATTCATTAATCTCAGGTTTTACTGTAAGCGTAGCTCTGTGACAATACACTGATTCATACTTGAGTGTTTTATTGACTTATCTGCTTAATGTAGTTTATACTAAGAGCTCCTGTTTATTTTGTCTCCTTTTTTTTTTTTCCACCAGGAGTGAGGGGGGAGGCTAATAGGCCCACTTCAGGGCAGGGATACAAGCTATTAGTACTGACTTTTCAAAGTGTTCCCACTTGTTAGCATACACAGATCTGCTGATCTAACAGACACACCAGAACCTGTCTGCGTAGTTTAGGAAAAGCCCCCTTGTGCAATTTCAATATATATGAGAACACCTGCCTTTGCAGTTTCATCATTAATTTGTGGTTTTCCTCTGGAGTTTTGATGTTTTTAAGAGTGACAGCGTGTGCAGCTGAGCTTGCTGGTAATGGACAAAAAAACCTGGCATATCTAAAGCTGCGCGCCTCACCAGAAGGCCCGTGCAGATGTGCCTAAGCAGGGATTAATCACCACAACGAAGCAGCCAGGATCAGCTTGTGATGCCAGAAACCATTATAGTTTCATTCAAGTAATTAATTTTAATTGCTTTCTTTTTCTCTTGAAATAAAAGACAGAGAGGGAGAAAACATGTTTGCCATGCCCTTGTTTTAACATGCTTTTTGTGATGACAAGCTTAAACAAAACTGTACGGTCTCTTCCAGAAGCTCATGCTCAGTATATCAGCCGAAGAGACATACATGTTTCAAGTCTGCATTCTTCAGGAATGAAGAAGGCTCTGCAGTAGATGTGTGTGATGGAAGTGTTTACAAGGGTTATGGAGGGGAAGATGTGCTGCCAGTTCGCAGCTCTGAGAGAGAAGCGCTTTTACCAGGGCCGAGCAGACTCCTCCAGCACCTGGCTGCGTCTGGGCGGACAACGTGGCGCTGGAGGCCATGAGAGGATCACGGGGGAACAATTGACACTGATCAGATCAGAGCGCCACTCAGGATGACCTCAGGACCCCCGCAGGGCGCAACCCAATCACAGCAGCCACTGACTCTGACAGATGAGTGCAGCGCTATGCCCCACCCCGACACAAAAGTCAAGCCATTGAAGTCACAGGGAAAAAAATCCCCCCTTAGATAAGTTCACAGCTCTTGTGCGCTTTTCCTTTCTACTTGTGGCCACCACCAAAACCCTGCCCCCACAGCCAAACCCCCCTCCCCCGGCCATACGCTGTTTTTGATCTCAGGTGAGCATTGTTACAGCAGGTATTGAGATTCGCCAGTGGAGCTACGCACTGAGACACGAGGCTGAGCTGTTTTGCTTTTACAGCTGGTGTTATGGAACATATGATGATCACATAATCAGCTGTGAGCCACTTGTGTAGTATCACTGATACACAACAAACAGCTCATATGTTTCAATTAGAAACTGATCACTGCTCCTCAAAGATTGTACAGTTACATAAACTATCAAACGCTACTATACATAGGAAAAATAAGTCTGCATCATATCCAACATAATAACTCAAACTTAAAATGCTGTTTTCCTCAATTTGATGTTCCCATGCAAAGTTAGTAATTTGATAGAGCTCATCAATCTCCATTTATGTTCTTGTCTTGAGTTTACCCAAGCGAACGCAGCCACATTAGCTCATCTGCCAGTCCCAACCCCACCAACATCACTGAGTTCAAGCATTGCTGACTTCACTCTGTCTGGTGACTGAGTGACTAAGGACCTTAATTACACTGTCTGCTAGTTTGGTTACTGCCCATTAATCTCTCAGTCACGGGATGGACCTCAGCGAATGATGCCTTCCCAGCACAGAGCTCGGATTTGAACACTAGTGTCACATGCTCCACAATAACGTCACTAAATTGACTCAAAAAGAAAATCTCTACTGCTTAAATGAGATATCTTCGCAGTTAGACCACTGTGCCAACCTTTGCTGCATTTCAGGTTCCATTCAGGACAGCTAAACTGCTCGTCCGCAACCCTGAAATACTGGCTTAGGTAGTGAACTCAGGATTTCTGATGGAATCAATTAGCTAACCGCATGGGACTTTGTGGTGGCCGTAGCATGTTTAGACCACAGGCCGTGGATCTGCCAGCCTATTTGTCTTTGTTTGCAAAGGATGTGCATCATTTGATCCGTATGGACAGATGAGATGAAAGGGATATCTTTTTGGCTAGGTGCTAATGAGAGTCTTAACCCTGAGGGGTTATGAGGCATATCGTGCAAACAGACTCACACGCAGACGCATGCATGTAGACCACATGTGTGCCATGCTGATCCTGCCTGCTTTGCCTCACTTCTCGGAAGCCACAAGCAACGTGTCTCAACCGAGTGAGGGAGCAGCAGACGCAGAAACCTCCACAGAGGCAGAATGCCGGGGGAATCTGCTGCAGGGGACGAGACAAGCAGCAGAGCAGCAGCGAACTGCAGGGCTTGGCAGGTGCATGCCCAGGCAGGTCCGTATGGGGCCTCTACTGGCCTGGGGGGTTTACGGCATGGTTGGGGGTTTTCTCAGTATCTAAACCGGGCTGATGTGAAAGTATGATGGGCTGCTGGAAACCACAGAAATGAAGCAGAGGAAACAAAGGGATTCCACCACACACCTTGCTAAAGGGTGGAAATTCACACAATCAAGACTATGACACTGTAAACAAAAACTTTTGACTCAGCCACTCCCAGTGCAATAAAATCACTACTACAATCTCTGCTGCTTGGATAGAAAAGTGAAGCTGTCTCTGAGTCAGAAATATGTTGCAGCTGCTATTGTGGGAGGTCTGCATTACAGGGGTCAGTGTGTTGCACATGTCTGTGCATAGATGAGCTTTCTTTGTGTGACAAGCCTCCTATGTCCAGAGGCACAAAAAGTACCAGGTGACCCTCTGAACCTGTTGAGCAGAACATGACATCTGACCTCACTGCCTTTAGCCTGATGGCCAACAGAAAAAGTTTGAAGTTCATGACCAGGGTGTACATCGAGTATCAAAGAGCAGGAGTGTTCATCTCCCGCCTGTTTGCATCGTTAATCAAATGAAAGGTCATTATGATCAGATGTTCATACTGAAATTCTACATTGAGGTGTGATCAAACACGACTTTGATAGAGCTTGTCTTATCTTTAAAAGAGGAAATTGAAATTAATCAATTTGAAGTTCCTCAAGTCAAACCCAATGCAGGAATTTTGGATCCTCATCCTAACCTTGGTACATTTTAAGATACTGAAAAAGTAGCTTAAATTGCGTTAGCATGACATGGCAAAGCTCAATACACATGGTCCTACAGAGAAAAGCACTCTTAAGTTAAATTGTATCTGATGGTCAAAGTAAATTTTATACTTGTTCAGGGAATAACTTCATGCAATTTATTTTCAGAACCATAAAAGTTTACCCATAGCTTACCATTAGAAAATGTAAAATAAGTTAGCTCATTATGCAGCAAACAGAAGATTTTTTGTGCTAATTTGATAACTTTCTTTGAAGATCTTCGAGGAATCTGGATATGGAAGAATAAAACTGTGGTAAGTGTTCTCATAAGACCTGCTAGCTAAGTTTTAGCTCTGTGTATTAGTTTTACAAGGGCTATTTTTTCAGTTTCTTCACAGTAGTTGTCTCGTAATGGTGTCATCTTTTGTCTTATCCCACCAAACATGTCATTAACCAAGTAGCTAAGCTGTGCAGTGACGTCAACCACTCTTCAGGTCCATCAATGCTAGCTTCACTGCTAGTTAACAAAATCTTCTCAAGAAATAGCTTCTTAAGGTAAGTTCTTATAAATAATAAAAAATGTTTTCGTTTTCAGTTTTGACAAGTGCTAGAAGCTGTATCCTACTCCTTTTCCTTTGCAGCAATATCACAGAGAGAAATGTTCCAAACAGTGCGTGTCAGCACATTGTAGCTAAAAGCTAAAATAATCATTATGCAGATAAAGTGGCTGCTGTTATTGTTATATTCAAGTTACATAGCTTAAACGGTTGGATTGTTATTACTGACTTAGTGCATGAGGCATTTTAATTTGGAAGCGGGTAGAAGTGGAGCTAATTTTAGCTTCTTCACACAGGCTGCAGTTTGTGATGCTGAGATGTGTTTCCGTCCACTCGATTAGCATCAATAAGAGTACACTAAATATTACGAACACATTTAAGTCTAATGCAATAGAAGTACCCTCAAATTTAAACTGGTAACATTCCACCATTGTTTCTGCTGAAATGATCCTTGAACGCGAGTCAAAAAAGACACATTTTGCAATATGTTTTGTGTTCATATTGTCTGGAGTTAATTCAAAGCTTTCAGTAGTTTGTAGTTCAGTACAAAGTGGAATGTTGAAGTGGCGAACAAAGTATGAGAGTGAAGCAGAAAGGAAAAGAGAGGGATTAGAGAACCTGTCACAATCCATCCCTCTATCCATTCCTCCTTAGGCACTATGTTCACAGACTTCATGGAAACCTGTGTGAAGGCAGAGTGAACTACATGGTTGTGTTGATACTTGTAAGTTCTCACTTCCAACAAGGTTATCAC